CAGCTTTGCTCCTTTCTTGCGTCCCAGAGGCAGTGCATAGTGGGACTCATACCACTGTCGGTATGGTGTGCTATCAATAAGCACAATGCAGTTCTTCACCAAGGTCTTGGTACGAACCAGCTCATTATTAGATGCATTGTAGACAACATCAATGATCCTGGTTTTCCTAGTACAACCTGCTCAGAGAAGAAATTCAGCATCGAGTTCCCCACGCTCTTCTGCCGTAGTAGGGCATTAAAGAGAAGCACAGCAACATTGAACCTTTTCTTAGCCACTAAACATCAGCTGGTCTCCCACACCCTCATCTTTCTACAAGTGTGTGGTCAGGATTGGCACCCATAGCACAGTGGTTATGGTGCCAGCTACATACATGGAGGCTTATGGGTTCAAACCTGGCCTGGGCCAGCTAAACAATGACAACTGCAACCAAAAATAGGCAGGCATTGTGGTGCGCCCCTGTAGTCCCAGCTACTTGGGAGGCTGAGGCAAGAGAATTGCTTGGGCCCAAGAGTTTGAGGTTGCGGTGAGCTGTGACGCCACAGCACTCTACCAAGGGCAACATACTAGGACTCTTGTCTCCAAAAAAAAAAAAAAAAAAAAAAAGTGTGGTCACCACACAGTCTCAGTAAATCAGGCCAATTTCCTCAGGCTGTAAAGCTAAGAGAATGGGATAAGACAGTCTGGGTAAAGGAACTCCAGAACTCATGAGCTTTCAGCAAGAAGAAATTTCTTTTTTTTTCTTTTAGAGATAGTTTTCCTTTGTTGCCTTTGGTAGAGTACTGTGGTGTGACAGCTCACAGCAACCTCCAGCTATTGGGCTTAGGCGATTCTCTTGCCTCAGCCTCCCGAGTAGCTGGGACTACCGGCGCCTGCCATAATGCCTGGCTATTTTTTGGTTGCACTTTGGCCGGGGCCAGTCTGAACCTGCCACCCTTGATAGATGGGTCCAATGCCCTACTCACTTGAGCCACAAGCGCCACCCAATCAAGAAGAAATTTCAATACCACAGCTGTTACGAAGCCAGCCACATAACACCTGAAGTTGGTGGGTTTGAGCCCAGCCGGAGCCAACTAACCAACAATGACAACTGCAACAAAAAATAGCTGGGCATTGTGGCTGGTGCCTGTAGTCCCAGCTAATTGGGAGGCTGAGGCAAGAGAATCAATTGCTTGAGCCCAAGAGTTTGAGGCTAGTGTGAGCTGTGACGCCACAGCACTCTACCGAGGGCAACACAGTGAGACTAAAAAAATTTTTTCAAGTATCTTGGTCTAAGGCAGGCATCCCCAAACTACAGCCCACGGGCCACATGCAGCCCACCTAGGACATTTATCTGGCCCACGGGGTGTTTTTGCCACCACTGCCTGTCTTGTTTAGCAGCTGACTCGCACCAGGCCCACAGTCCAGCCCTCCATCGGTCTGAGCGACAGTGAACTGGCCCCCTGTTTTAAAAGCTTGAGGACCCCAGGTCTAAGGCCATTGACTTCCTGCTGAAAACATTTATGAAGCTTCGGAAAATTAAGGTGCCTTCCCACCCACTCCAGATGGGCCTCACTCACACTCTGAGCCCCAAGAGAAGTTTCCAACGTCCAGCCTCAGGGCACGGTATTTCTTGTTACCTCCTCGAACACGGACGGTATGTATTCGTCGGGGGCCAATCTGGAAAACAAGGAGAAAGGAAGTAGGTTACCAAGAAGAGCAAGAAAAGCGATGGAGTGGAACCTGGGGTTAGATGGAGGTATTGCAGTCAGTGTAACTATGACAAGTCCTTGCATTGGCAAGTGGCATATCGTGACCAAGACAGCCACAACCACGCCTAAGGATATTTTTTCATCACTCTGCTTACCCCCAAACGCTGAAAATTAAATTTCCGTGCAATAAAAATACCAAGTGACGATCTCTCTGATCATCCTGAAAGGAGACACTTCTCCAGTGCTCTCCAAGTCCCACTACTCAATTACATGTCTCAGCCCCTAAGCTGGCGAGAAAGCAGATGGTATATCCAGTTAAGGCTGGGCAGGCCACCAGTCCCTACCATAAAGAAACCAGACGGATAGGAAGAACACACGTGGGGCGACCTGACCACGCGGCAGAGCATAGGAAGGCGACCTTCCGTCCGGGCAGTCCCACACAGGCACCCACCTTAGTGTTAGCTGCGGGGCGTCCCAACTCATACTTCCGCTTCTTGTGGTATGGCTTTCTCTTGCCCCCGGTCTTGCGGCGCTTGTGCCAGTTGTCCCGAGAGATGCCTGCATGTGAGAGCGGGGACGAAACCCTGAAACGTGGGGACTCGGTGCCGGCGACTCGCCAGCTCCAGATCCCCGCGCCACGGGGGCCGCACGCTCAGCTCTCCAAGGTTGGCTTCCTCACTGCACGATCGGCAGTCTGCAGCATTCCTGGGTGTCATCATGCGCGTGTGGCCCGCTGAACACCTTTTTTTTCTTTTTTTTTGAGACGGGAGTCTCACTATGTCGCCCTCGGTAGAGTACCGTGGCGTCACAGCTCATAGCAACCTGGAACTCTTGGGCTTAAGCGATTCTCTTGCCTCAGCCGCCCAAGGAGCTGAGACCCCAGGCGCCCGCCACAACGCCTGGCTGTATTTTGGCCGTAGTTGTCATTGTTGTTGGGCAGGCCTGGGCTGGATTCGAACCCGCCAGCTCCGGTGTATGTGGCTGGCGCCCCAGCCGCTGAGCTACAGGGGCCCAGCCCCGGCCGAACTCTTAACCGCGGCAGCCATGTTGGTGCCACTTGCAGCCTACAACCCGCGGCTCAGAGACAGACGCCTTTTGAAACCCTCCGGCAGGGCCACAGCAACCAAAACCCTACGGCTACCGCTCCTCGATGCTGCTCCCAGCCCGGCGTCAGAGTTTCTGTACTTCTGACTTGGCCGCCAGGCAGGATGGAGCCGGATTGAGGTAAAACACCCCCACACACTCCCGTGGCCCCATGGCAGAGCGTCACTTACCCATCGCTCGGCGCTGGCTGGAAAGAGAAAACGCAAAGACTCACGGTTCGGTTTGTAAAACGCAGTCCCGCCCAGATAACGTTGAGTCTAGTGCCGTAACCACGGAGGGCGGCGTGACTTACGTTTTCACTGTCGCGCTGAGGGACTCGGGCTTGGGCGGGTCCTGCTGTCAGCCGACTCTCTGCTGGTGCTGCCTACTTTGGGGGTTGGAGGTTCCGCGGCGTCGGTAGATATGCCCGCTTCTGATAGAATTGGAGGGATTTAAGGCACAGCCGGGGGGAGCAGAATGGCTTTATTTACATGTTCAGAAGAGAGATGTACTTTGAAAAATGGTGGAGAGGTCGAAACGAGTGGGGGTGGACTTGGGTTTTGTTTTGAAGAGTTGGTGGTGGCTCGGCGACACAGTGGCTAAGGCGCCAGCCACATACACCTAAGGTGGCGGGTTCGAATCCAGCCCGGGCCCACCAAATGACGGCTGCAACCAAAAAATAGCCGGGCGTTGTGGCGGGCGCCTGTGGTCCCAGCTACTTGGGGGGCTGAGGCAGGAGACTCGCTTGAGCCCAGGAGTTGGAGGTTGCTGTCGGCACTCTACCCAGGGGGACAGCGTGAGGCTCTGTCTCAAAAAAAAAAAAAAAAAAGTTGGTGGTAAACTGGACTTGGGGGTTGAAAGAGGGAGGTGTCGAGGATTCTAAGTTTCTCAGTTGGTCGATTAGATCAGTTTGGGGGCTATTTGTTGAGATAGGGTGGGCTAAGGTAGGAGCTGTTCTAGACATGTTCCCAACACGTTTGTTACGTGAACTAAGATAGGAGAGAGCAATTTATATAAATGGGAATGATAGCTAGATATTCATGCCTGGTCGTTCTTGTGTAAGGAATATGTTGGGAATCCTTAATATATAAATCCTAGTAAAAGCCACCAGAAGGAATGGAATCTAGAGAGAAAGCGTAAAAGAGAGGTCTACAAACTTTTCTTATGTAGGTAAATACAAACTTTTTGGGCGGGGCTGGGTTTGAACCCGCCACCTCCAGCATATGGGACCGGCGCCCTATCGTTTGAGCCACAGGCGCCACTCCGCAAACTTTTTTTTTTTTTTTTTTTTGAGACAGAGCCTCAACGTGTCCCCCTGGGTAGAGTGCTGTGGCATCACAGCTCACAGCAACCTCCAACTCCTGGGATCAAGCAAGTCTCCTGCCTCCGCCTCCCAAGTAGCTGAGATCGCAGGTGCCCACCACAACGCCTGGCTATTTTTTTTTGGTTGCAGCCATCGTTGTTTGGCGGGCTGGGCTGGATTCGAACCGGCCACCTTAGGTGTATGTGGCTGGCGCCTTAGCCACTTGAGCCATAGGCGCTGAGCCCACAAACTTTTCTTTTTTTGGTTTTTTAATTTTATTTCGTTGCTTATTTTTTATGTCTTTCCTTATTTTGTCATTATTTTTTTGAGCTAGAGTCTCACTGTGTTGCCGTCGGTAAAGTGCTGTGGCATCACAGCTCACAGCAACCTCAAACATGGGGACTCGATGATGGCGACTCACCAGCTCCAGATCCTCGCGCCACGTGGACCACATGCTCAGCTCTCCAAGGTTGGCTTCCTCACTGCGCAATTGGCAGTCTGCAGCATTCCTGGGTGTGTGTCGTCATGCGCTTGTGGCCGAACTCTTTTTTTTGAGACCAGGCGTCCGCTACAACGCCCAGCTATTTTCTTGTTGCAGTTGTAGCAGTTGTTGATTTTAGCTGGCTTGGGCTTGATTCCAACTTGTCAGCCTGGGTGTATGTGGCTGGTGCCCTACCTACTGAGCTACGGGTGCTACCCGCCTGGCTCTGGTTGGTCTCTAGCCTGTCAGCTCAGGCAGTCCACCCTTCTCAGCCTCCCAGAGTGCTAGGATTACCTTCATGAGCCACTGCACTCACCTGAAATATTAATTTTTAAGGAATTTTACATTAAAATCCATAATCCTAAAGAAAACATGGGGATAGATTCTTACATCTTGGATTTGGCATCTAGATATGATACCAAAAACACAAAGATAAATTCTACTCCAAAATTAAGTTTTGTGCTTCATAGGGTACCATCAAGAAACTGAAAAGACAACCCAAGGAATAAGGGAAAGTACTTGGAACGCATATATTTGATAAGGCTGTAGTACCCAGAACATTAAAAAATGTGGATGGAAGGCTGGGATGGTGGCTCACACCTGTACTCCTAGCACTCTGGGAGGTGGAGGCAGGTGGATTGCTTGAGCTCACGATTTTGAGACCAGCCTGAGCAACATGAAAACCTGGTCTCTTTTTTTGTTGTTCAGACAGAATCTCACTATGTGGCCCTTGGTAGAGTGTTGTAGCATCACAGCTCACAGCAACCTCAAACTCTTGGGCTTAAGCGATTCTCTTGCCTCAGCCTCCCAAGTAGCTGGGATTATAGGTGCTGGTCACAGTGCCCGGCTATTTTTTGTTGCAGTTGTCATTGTTTAGCTAGACTGGGCCAGGCTCCCACCATTCTCAGTGTATATGGCTGATGCGGTAACCACTGTGCTCTAGGCACCAAGCCTAGACCTCTGTCTCTAATAAAAATAGAAAAAGTGGTGCCTGTGGCTCAGTGAGTAGGGCCCCAGCCCCATATACCAAGGGTGGCGGGTTCGAATTTGGCCCCAGCCAGACTGCAACAACAATAAAAAAAAATAGCCAGTCGTTGTGGTGGGCACCTGTAGTCCCAACTACTTGGGAGGCTGAGGCAAGAGAATTGCCTAAACCCAAGACCTGGAGGTTGCTGTGAGCTGTGATGCCAGGGCACTCTCCTCAAGGTGACA